TGATTTTGTCACCCTTTTTGTATCAATAAATGCATGTGGCAATTGATTTGCAGTATTCTGCAGATGTATAATCTTTTGAACTTCTTGCTCTCTTTGTTTGGTGGGAGGATCAAGATATGACAGTGATAATGTTCTCCATTCAATATTTTTATCAATTGATATTTCATTCCCACCTAAAGGGGGAAATAATTCTTCATTAAAATGACAATCATCAACTCGAGCTGTAAAAACATCACCTGTTTTTGGCTCAAGATATTTTATTATTGATGGAGATTCATATCCAACATATATTCCCGACCTTCTTTGAGGCCCCATTTTCGTACGTTGGGGCGGAGCAATTGGTACATATACTGCACAACCAAAAGTTCTCATATGTGCAATATTTGGTTCTCGACCAGATGCCAACTGTAATGGCGAGTATGTATGGTGTGCACTTGGTCTTATGCGATTTAGATTATCTGCATGCAGAATAGCATGTCCACATACTGAAGTGGGCAGTTTTGTCCTCATTATCAATGGTCTGGCTATAAGCTGCAATCGTTTGATCAATGATTCTGCCAGACCATTTTGAGTATGAACATGTGCTACAGGATGTTCAACATCAATTCCCACTGCCATACAATAATCATTAAATGCTTGAGATGTAAATTCTCCAGCGTTGTCCAGTCTGACCCTTTTGATAATATAATCTGGGAATTGAACCCTTAATTTGATAAGTTGGGCAAGCAATTTAGCAAATGCCACATTTCTAGTGGATAACAAACTCACGTGAGACCATCTACTAGAAGCATCAATTAACACCATAAAATATCTGAATGGACCACAAGGCGGATGAATAGGTCCACATATATCACCATGAATTCTTTCCAAAAATAACGGTGATTCATGTCCGATTTTAGTATGTGATGGTCTTATTATCAATTTCCCTTGAGAACATGAGGTACACGTCAATTCACGTGTTTGCAATATCCTCTGATTTTTTAACGGATGTCCACTAGAATTTTCAATAATTCTTCGCATCATTATCAAGCCAGGATGACCAAGTCTATCATGCCAAAGTTTAAACATTTCATTCGCCTGTGACTTTGTTGCAGCATAAGTCTCAATAATATAAATGCGGGTGTAATATAACCCGATGATAAAGCTGGCAATTTCTCCAAAACACATTTATTTCCCGCAACATTTGAGGTAATGCAAAGATATTCAACTGCCCCTTCATTCATTGTTTCAACATGGTATCCATTCATTCGGATATCTTTAAAACTCAACAAGTTTCTTGTTGATTTCAGGGAGAATAACGCATCATTCAATGTAAACTTTGTACCTCCCATCATAAAAAATATGGCTTTTCCAGAACCCTCAATTATCTTTGCATTTCCAGATATTGTGTTTACTTTTGCTTTATTTAATTTCAAGTTGACAAAATATTTTCTGTCCTTGAGTATAGTATGAGTTGTGGCACAATCTGCAAGACATATATCTCCATTTTGAATTCGAGACTGATCCATGATCTAAAAGAAAACAACATTATTATTGATCAAATTTGAAATACAGATACAACTAGTACAAATACGCAAATACAACAAAAACTTAGAAAGCAATAAAAGAAACAGGATAATCAGTTGTTCTCTTGGTCATTTCCAACTCTTTCTTCAAATACCGTATCGGCAAAATCCAGGTTCAACATGTCATCGATGCCATAGTCATCATCTACACGTGTTGAATCATTCCCAGAAGATTCCCCAATCATAAAATTGGTTTCAATATTTTTATCTTTCGATTTTTGGGAATTGTTATAATTATCAACAACGTGTTTCGGAGCACGACAGTTTCGTGCCCAATGTCCCGTCATTCCACATCGATAACATGCATTTTCATTATTATTTTCCGTCACATTACTTTGTTCAAATTTTGGCTGGAAATTTCTCCCCCTTCCAAAATTTTGGGCATAGTTACGGCCTCGCCCACGATTATATCCCCGGCCCGAGTTGTACCCTCTGTGAAATTTGAAGCCTCGGTCAAATCGGCGATCTGGGCCATATCCACGACCACGGCCACGTCCACGTCCACGACCCCGGCCACGTCC